GAATCAAGTTTCAGGAAGCTGAAAAGGGATATAGCCAACTGGTGAAGTATCTTGGAAATGAAGAATAGAGAGGCCATACTATCAGAAAAAATAAAGATAAGTTGCTGTTACTATCATTAAACACAGCCTTTAAAAAAAAGCCTCATTTTTATTATATTTAAATATCTAATTTATCATGTACTTTTAAAAAGAACATTTTTAGCAAAATTTGCTTTTTTCACGGAATTGAAACAGAATGGCTGTGATCAATATGTAACAGTTATTGGTGCTAAACAATTCAAGATATGTAAAGATTTGGCAGGAGAATTTTGGGTATCTTCCAATAGTAATTGTGTAATGTTTCTGAACACAGAGAAGGAAGTGTTTTGGATAGCATTAAATTCTAACAAGTTTCTCAAGTAGTTAAATGCACTGAGGATTCCATCTGTGGCTTTTGTCCACCAACGGCTTCTCTTCCAGATCTGTCTGTGCCTCAGAGAGGAAAATGTGGGCCACAAGTTGGGCAAAAATGGATCAGGGAGTTTTTATTTTTTTTTTATTATTGTAGTGGTTATTATTAGGTCAAATTTCAAATTATTTTCCTTGATAGGGAGAAAATAATTTTGCTTGTTTGGGGTTATTGACCTATAGGTGGAAATTTAAAAATGAGCTTTTATTTAGAGAGGAGCTAAGAATAGACTGGGTAAATCCACCATTTGAGTATCTGTAAGTGAAAAATAGTATTGTGACTGACCTTGAGAAGGAGAGATTCAAGATACAGGTTAAAAAAAAGGAAACAAATTACAAAAACTATAGGAGAGTTTGAATAAGAAAAAGATTATCAGCATTGACAAGCACAGTGGAGAGGATAAGTTGAGTAAAGGCTACAATGTGCCATTATGATCTGCTAATTGGGAGTCACTGATTACAGTAGTGAGAACAGAACTACTGAAATTCTCTAGAAGGAAGCAAGATTTCAGTGGGCTGAAAAGTTAATAGAAAGTGGTTGAGCTATCAGACGGATTAACCCCTGATGCACTGCTCAAACTGAAGATTGCTTTGCCTGCCTAGTTTATAATCCCATCTAGCTCCAGACACATACTCACATCATAACAAATCCTTACAGCAAGCTGGACATTCTCGTCTCTATTCATACTTTATACAGCAGGGCAACAGAGATATTAGAATCTCACAGCTATTAAGATTCTGTGAGCATAAGTCACAGAATGCTTCCCTGAGGGGATGTCCACTTAAGTGACACTTTGGGTTTCTTCTCTTCAACATCTGTAACTCATTTGTGATGATAAGTAGATAGTGTGGACCAAGTACGCTACAGGTGTTTCTTTTCTTTTTCTTTTTTCTTTTTTTTTTTTTGGCTTTCAATTGTTTCTTTTTTATTTTTTTCTTTTAATTTTTTAAATTGACAAATAATAATTGTATATATTCACTGGATACAAACAGGTGTTTCTTTTACTGAAGTAGCTAATGTATTAAAGCAAGACCACCTTCCTAGTAAGAGAACAACCATGTAGTCTTTTTGTTTTTGTTTTTGTTTATTTCTGGTCTGGGATATATGAGTTGGCATGTGCCTCTGCTAGAGAAGGCAGACACTGAGCACTGAGTTGTAGTTTCTGGATATATATGTTTTCAAGAATTATATAAAGGTAATTCTGTAATCCTCTCTGGCTTGAGGGTTTTGCACAATTTTTCTAATGACAAACTGAAAATTTAAATATATTAGAGATCCATTGCATTGGTGATTGTTGTGGACGTTTTATTGTCAAAGAATGCTCCCAAGTGATGTGAAGAGACACATATTTAATTTCTAATCCCATGTTCGTTGGTCTTTACTTGACAATACTCAAAAGATTTCTCAATGACCCCCAAACTTTTCCTTTTTAAAAAACCAGTTATGTAGTTTTTCCTTTTATTGCTCCTTACATTTTTTTGCATTAACTCCCTTGCCGTTTTTGTTGCTTCCTTATCTTGATCTTTTATTTGGACCAGTAATACCCATAGCTCCTCCAGTGTTCTTAGGAAAATATCTAGTTATTTTTGGAACAAGGAGCTTATATAATTCTGTGTGAGGAGCTCTTTAAAAAAAAGGATATCATATCATCATAACCACCAGAGCCTTGGGAAAGGCCTGTGCAAATGAAGCATTCCGAAGATTGAGCTTAATTTGAGCTTCATGGTAAATCTGCCCATAACTGTTAATTTATCCCAGACCTGATTGTCCTCTCTATTGAGTTCTCATTATATATTAATTAGAGGGCAACTAACAGAGCTTATGTGGCTAAGTATAAGCTTAACATTTATTCGGCACACCATTTTCACTTATTACGAAGAAACCAGTTGTGCAAAGAAGCAGCAGTGGACTTGGCAGAAATTCTCAGAGACTTAATTCTTAATGATGTAAAACTGTCTATGAATAAAACTGGAGCTAGATGGGATCATAAACTAGGCAGGCAATGCAACCTTCACTTGAGCAGTACAACTTTCACTTTAAAAGAGAGAAGAAAGAGGCATGGATGGAGTTGACAAACAGGAAAGCAGTGCATTTCTTATTGTGAAAAAGAATACATAAATTTAAAGGAATTTCGGAAGCTGTTGACAATAGTGAGTTAACAGATACGTTAACTTTTTCCTATAATTAGTTGATGTTCAACATGTCTATTCCTATTACTAGAGAAACAGTGTGAATTGATAGACTTTAGCCTTTGAAATTAAATAGACCACAATATAAACGCTGGTTCTGACACTAAATAGCTGTGAGGTTCTAATATCTCTGTTGAAGTGCTGTATGAAGTATGAATAGAGAGGAGAATGCCCAGCTTGCTGTAAGGATTTGTTATAATGTATGTGAGTGTGTATGTGTGTGTGTGTGTGTGTGTGTGTGTGTGTGTACATACATGATAATCAGCAGTCATAGCATTATTAGTATGAAACAATCAATGTGTATGTATATATACCTGTATACACATGTATATAGGTATATCATATACACATATAAATAATATGATAGACATTAAATAAAAATTATAGATTAAATGTTTATAAATATCTATATTAAAGACAGAACAATAAGCCTGTCATTTAAATGATTTTTAGTATAATCTACTTTATTATTGTCATTATTATTATTTTTGAGACAGGGTCTTGCTCTGTTACCCAGGCTGGAGTGTAGTGGTATGATCTTGGCTCACTGCAGCCTTGTCTTTCCTGGCTCAAGCAATCCTCCTATCTCAGCCTCCAGAGTATTTGGGCCTACACTCCTGGATATGAGGAGTGAAGAAATTGAGGTACTTAACATATCTGAAATCACCTTTTATGTTACACCAGTTTAATATTGTATAGAAACGTAGTTCTAATAAATACAGATTACATATGAATCCATTGATACATGACAGATATTTCAGCATACACCAATGAGGACAGAAATGACTATTCAACCAATGGAAAGTGGTCTCACACTTCTCAGTTGCTGTCATTGATCTTTCCATTCTGCCTCCATGTGATCAAAATTTTTTTTTTGAGACAGAGTTTTGCTCTTGTTGCCTTGGCTTGAGTGCAATGGCATGATCTCAGCTCACTGCAACCTCTGTCTCCCAAGTTCAAGCAATTCTCCTGCTTCAGCCTCCCAAGTAGCTGGGATTACAGGTGTGTGCTACCACATCTGGCTAATTTTGTAGTTTTAGTAGAGACAGGATTTCACCATGTTGGCTAGGATGGTCTCAAACTCCTAACCTCAAGTGATCCACCCATCTTGGCCTCCCAAAGTGCGGGGATTGCAGGCATGAGTCACGGTGCCCAGCCGTGATCTAATTTTTTAGATTCCAGACATAAATGAGAACATGCACTATATGTGTTTTGTACATGGTTTATTTCACTTAAGATAATGACACCCAGTTCCATTCATGTTGCTTCAAATGCCACGAATTCATTCTCTTTTCCCCTTTTTCTCTCTAATTTTTAGATTTTGTGGGTACATAATAGGTACACATATTTATGGGGTATGTGGGATATTTTAATACAGGCATAAAGTGTGTAATAATCACATCAGAATAGATAGGGTATCAATTATCTCAAGCATTTATCCTTAGTGTTACAAACAATCCAATTATATACTTTTATTTCTTTTAAATGTACAATTAAATTATTATTGACAATAGTCACCCCATTGTGCTATCAAATGCTACGTCTTACATTTGTTGTAACTATTGTTATTGTACCCATTAACCATCCCCACTTCCTTCCTATCCCCTCAGCACACTTCCTACCCTCTGGTAACCATCATTCTACTCTTTATCTTCATATGTTCAATTATTTTAATTTTTAGCTTTCACAAATTGGCGAGAATATGCAATGTTTGTATTTCTGAGCCTGGCTTATTTCACCTAACGTAATGGCCTCCAGTCTCACCTATGTTGTTGCAAATAATAGGATCTCATTCCTTTTATAGCTGAATAGTACTCCATTGTGTGTATTTACCACATTTCCTTTATTCATTCATCTGCTGACAGACATAGGTTGCTTTCAAATCTTGGTTGTTGTGAACAGTGCTGCAATAGACATGGGAGTGCAGATATTTCTTTGGTATACAGCCTTCCATTATTGGGGGGATATACATAGCAGTGGGATTGGTGGATCATATGGTAGCTTTATTTTTGGCTCTTTGAGGCACCTACAAACTATTCTCCATAGTGATTGTATTAATGTACATTACCACCAAGGGTGTATGAAAGTTCCCTTTTCTTCACATCCTTGCCAGCATTTGTTATTGCCTGTCTTTTGGATAAAAACATTTTAGTTGGAGTGAGATGATATCTCATTGTAGTTTTGATTTGCATTTTTCTGATGTTCAAAGATGTTGAGCACTTTTACAAATGTCTATATGCCATTTGCATGTCTTCATTTGAGAAATGTCTACTCATAGCTTTTGCCCAGTTTATCATCAGAATATTAGATTTTTTCCTAGTTATTTGAACTCCTTATATATTTTGGTTATTAATCCATTATCAGATGGATGGTTTGCAAATATTTTCTCCCATTCTGTGGGTTGTCTCTTCATTTTGTGAATTATTTCCTTTGCTGTGCAGAAGCTTTATAACTTGAAGTGATCCCACTTGTCCATTATTTGCTTTGATTGCCTATGCTTTGGGTTATTACTTAAGAAATGTTTGACCAGACTAATATCCTGGAGAGTTTCTCCAATGTTTTAGCAGTTTCATAGTTTGAGGACATCAATTTAAGTCTTTAATCCATGATAATTTGATTTTTGTATATGGTAAAGGATATGGGGTCTAGTTGTAGTCTTCTGCCTAAGAATATCCAGTTTTTGAGCACCAATTATTGACAATACTGTTCTTTCCTAAATATGTTCCTGGAACTTTTGACAAAAATGAGTTTAGTTATATGTATGGATTTGATTCTGAGTTCTCTATTCTGTTCTATTAGTTTTTGTGTCTGTTTCTATGCCAATAACATGCTATTTTGGTTATTATAGCTCTGTAGTATAAATTGAAGACAGGTAATGTGGCTTTTTCAGTTTTTTTTTTTTTTTTTCTTGTTGTTGTTGTTGTTAGTACAGTTTTGGCTATTCTTGGTCTTTTGTGGTTCCATATAAGTTTTAGAATTATTTTTTCTATTTCTGTGAAGAATGTCACTGGTATTTTGATAGAGATTGCATTGAATCTGTAGATTGCTTTGGGGAGTATGGACAGTTTAACAATATTGATTCTTCCAATCCATGAATATGGAATTTTTTTTTGTATCCTCTTCAATTTCTTGCATCAATGTTTTGTAATTTTTATTGCAGAGATCTTTCATTTCTTTGGTTAAGCTAATTCTTAGAAATTTTATCTTATTTGTAGCTATTGTAAATGATATTACTTTCTATATTTTCTTTTCAGGTTTCTCACTGTTGGCATATAGAAATGCCAATGATTTTTTTTTTTTGTACGTTGATTTTGCATTCTGCAACTTTACTGAATTTATCAGTTCTAATAGTTTCTTGTGGAGTTTTTAGGTTTTTCCAAACATAAGGTTATATCATCTGCAAACAAGGATAATTTGACTTCTTCCTTTCCAATTTTGATGGCCTTTATTTATTTCCCCTCTCTGATTTTTCTAGCTAGGACTTCTAGTACCATGGAACTTCCATTACTATTTCCCCTCTCTGATTCCTCCAGCTGGGACTTCCAGTACTCTGTGTTTCACTCTGCTGAATAACAAGGTGAAACTGGACATCCATGTCATGTTCCAGATCTTAGAGGAAAGAATTTATGTTTTTCCTTATTCAGTATGATACTAGCTGTGGTTCTGTCATACACAGCTTTTATTATGTTGAGATATATTCCTTCTATACCTGGCTTTTTGATGATTTTATCATAAAGAGATGTTGAATATAATCAAGTGATTTTTCAGCATAAATTGAAATGGGCATATGCTTTTGATCCTTCATTATATTTATATGATGTATGGCATTGATTGATTTGCATATGTTGAATCATCCTTGCATCCCATTGATAAACCCCACTCTATCATGATGAATGATCTTTTTAATGTGTTGTTGAATTCGGACTGCTAGTATTTTGTTGAGGATTTTTGCATCAATGTTCATCAGACATATTGGCTCATGTTTTCCTGTTTTTGATGTTTCTCTGTATGGTTTTGCTATAAGAGTAATTCTGGACTTACAGGATGAGTTTGGAAGCATTCCTTCTACCTCTGTTTTTTGGAATAGTTTTAAGTTGGGTTGGTATTAGTTCTTTTTTTTCCCAAGGTAATTTAACTTTTTTTTCTTTTATTATACTTTAAGTTCTGGATTACATGTGCAGAACGTGCAGGTTTGTTACATAGGTATACACGTGTCATGGTGGTTTGCTGCACCCATCAATCTGTCATCTACATTAGTTATTTCTCTTAATGCTACCCCTCCCCTTAGTTCTTAAAAGTTCAATAAAACTTATCAGTGAAGCCATAACATCCTGAGAGTTTCTTTGCTGGGAGACTGTCTTTATGGCTTTGATCTCATTATTTTTTATTAGTCTGTTCATGTTTTGTATTTCTTCATAGTTCAATCTTACTAGATTGAATATGTCTAAGAATGTATTCATTTTTTGAGGTTTTCCAATTTGGTGACATAGAGTTGCTCATAGGAGCCTCTAATGAGCCTTTGAATTTCTGTGTTATTGGTTGTAATGTCTCTTTATTCATCTCTGATTTTGTATATTTGGGTCTTCCCTCTCTCTTACTTAGTCTGGCTAAAGGTTTGTTAAATTTGGTTAATTTTTTTTCAACATTCCAGTTTTGGCTTCATTAATTTTTTATGTTTTTCTTCAATTTCATTTATTTCTGCTCTCATATTTATTTTTTCTTTTCTACTAATTTTGGATTTGGTTTGTCTTTGCTTTTCTATTTCTTTAGAATACATTGTTAGGTTGCTGACGACGTTTTTCCTCTTTTGTTGTAGGCATCTATAGCTATTAACTTTCTTCTCAGTGCTGCTTTTGCTGTATCCCATAGTTTTTAATATTTTTTGTTCCATTATCTTTGTTTAAAAAATTGTTCAATTTTCTTCATAATCTTTTCATTGACTACCTGGTCATTCAGGAACATATTGTTTAATTTCCATGTGTTTATACAGTTTCCAAAATTCCTCTTGTTTTTGATTTCTAGCTTCATTCTATTGTGGTCAAAAAAAGGTACTTGATGTTTTTAATTTTTTTTAATGTTTTAAAATTTGCTTTCTGGCATTAAATATAGTCAATCCTTTAGAATGATCCATGTGCTGAAGATAAGAATTTGTATACTGCAGCCAGTCAAAGAAACATTCCATAAATATCAATTATGCCCGTATTGTCTATGGTACACATTAGGCCCAATGTTTCTTTGTTGATTTTCTGGCTAGATGATATGCCCAATGCTGAAAGTTGAATGTTGAAGTCTCTGGCCATTATTGTATTGGGATCTATCTCTTATTTACTCCTACCATTCTGTTATTTGTTTTATGGATGTTTTCTGGTCTTCTCTTCCTTCTTTCTTTGCTTTCTGTCTTCCTTTTAGTAAAGATGTTTTTCTCTGATGATATGGTTTAGCATCTTTTAGTTTTTTGTGTATCCATTGTATGTTTATTAGTTTGAGGTTACCATAAGGCTTGCAAATAATATAACCTATTATTTAAAACTGATGACAACTTAACACATTGCATATACAAACAAACAAGCAAAAAGAAAACCAATAAAAACTCTATAACTTTGTCTTCCTGTTTATTAAGGTTTTTTTTTTTTTCTATTTGTATCTTATTATACTGTCTCTGTCATGACAAAATTATTTTTTTATCATTTCATTTTTTTGGCTTCCTTTTTTTATTAAATGTAGGTTTATTTCAGACATAAAGCATAAATAGCAAATGGCATTTCTTTTCATTGTTGGGATTGGTCAATGCTACTTTAAGTATCTTTTTCTTTTTCTTTTTCTTTTTTTTTCCCAATTATTTATTTAATTGCATTTTAGGTTTGGGGGTACATGTGAAGAACATGTAAAATTGTTGCATATGAACACACGTGGCAGTGTGATTTGCTGCCTTCCTCCCCATCACCTACATCTGGCATTTCTCCCCTTGCTATCTCTCCCCAACTTCCCACCCCCCACCATCCCTCCCCAATTTCCCCCCAACTGGCCCCAGTGTGTAGTGCTCCCCTCCCTGTGTCCATGTGTTCTCATTGTTCAACACCCGCCTATGAGTGAGAACATGCGGTGTTTGATCTTCTGCTCTTCTGTCAGTTTGCTGAGAATGACGGTTTCCAGGTTCATCCATGTCCCTACAAAGGACCCAAACTCATCGTTTTTGATGGCTGCATAATATTCCATGGTGTATATGTGCCACATTTTCCCTATCCAGTCTATGGTCGATGGGAATTTGTGTTGGTTCCAGGTCTGTGCTATTGTAAACAATGCTGCAATGAACATTCCTGTGCACGTGTCCTTATACTAGAACGATTTGTAATCCTTTGGATATATACCCAGTAATGGGATTGCTGGGTCAAATGGAATTTCTATTTCTAGGTCCTTGAGGAATCGCCACACTGTCTTCCACAATGGTTGAACTAATTTACACTCCCACCAACAGTGTAAAAGTGTTCCTATTTCTCCACATCTTCTCCAGCATCTGTTGTCTCCAGATTTTTTAATGATCGCCATTCTAACTGGCGTGAGATGGTATCTCAATGTAGTTTTGATTTGCATTTCTCTGATGACCAGTGATGATGAGCATTTTTTCATATGTTTGTTGGCCTGATGTATGTCTTCTTTTGTAAAGTGTCTGTTCATATCCTTTGCCCACTTTTGAATGGGCTTGTTTGTTTTTTTCTTGTAAATCTGTTTTAGTTCTTTGTAAATTCTGGATATCAGCCCTTTGTCAGATGGGTAAACTGCAAAAATTTTTTCCCAATCAGTTGGTTGCCGATTCACTCTAATGATTGTTTCTTTTGCTGTGCAGAAGCGGTGGAGTTTGATTAGGTCCCATTTGTCTATTTTGGCTTTTGTTGTCAATGCTTTTGGTGTTTTGGTCATGAAGTCCTTGCCTACACCTACGTCCTGAATGGTTTTGCCTAGATTTTCTTCTAGGGTTTTTATGGTGTTAGGTCTTATGTTTAAGTCTTTAATCCATCTGGAGTTAATTTTAGTGTAAGGTGTCAGGAAGGGGTCCAGTGTCTGCTTTCTGCACGTGGCTAGCCAGCTTTCCCAACACCATTTATTGAACAGGGAATCCTTTCCCCATTGCTTGTTTTTGTCTGGTTTGTCAAAGATCAGATGGTTGTAGATAGGTTGTGTTGCCTCCGAGACCTCTGTTCTGTTCCATTGGTCTATATCTCTGTTTTGGTACCAGTACCATGCTGTTTTGATTACTGTAGCCTTGTAGTATAGTTTGAAGTCTGGTAGTGTGATGTCCCCTGCTTTGTTCTTTTTGCTTAGAATTGACTTGGCTATGCGGGCTCTCTTTTGGTTCCATATGAAGTTTAAGGTGGTTTTTTCCAGTTCTGTGAAGAGGGTGATTGGCAGCTTGATGGGGATAGCATTGAATCTGTAAATTACTTTGGGCAGTATGGCCATTTTCACGATATTGATTCTTCCTAACCATGAACATGGAATGTTTCTCCATCTGTTTGTGTCCTCTCTTATTTTGTTGAGCAGTGGCTTGTAGTTCTCCTTGAAGAGGTCCTTTACATTCCTTGTTAGTTGTATTCCTAGGTATTTTATTCTCTTTGTGGCAATTGTGAATGGAAGTTTGTTCTTGATTTGGCTCTCTTTAAGTCTGTTATTGGTGTATAGGAATGCATGTGATTTTTGCACATTGATTTTGTATCCTGAGACTTTGCTGAACTTGCTTATCAGTTTCAGGAGGTTTGGGACTGAGACGATGGGGTCTTCTAGATATACAATCATGTCGTCTGCAAATAGAGACAATTTGACTTCCTCCTTTCCTATTTGAATGCCCTTTATTTCTTTTTCTTGCCTGATTGCTCTGGCTAGAACTTCTAATACTATATTGAATAGCAGTGGTGAGAGCGGGCATCCTTGTCTGGTGCCACATTTCAAGGGGAATGCTTCCAGTTTTTGCCCATTCAGTATGATATTGGCTGTTGGTTTGTCATAAATAGCTTTTATTATTTTGAGATACGTTCCATCGATACCTAGCTTATTGAGGGTTTTTAGCATAAAGGGCTGTTGAATTTTGTCAAAGGCCTTCTCTGCATCAATTGAGATAATCATGTGGTTTTTGTCTTTGATTCTGTTTATGTGGTGAATTATGTTTATAGATTTACGTATGTTGAACCAGCCTTGCATCCCCGGGATGAAGCCTACTTGATCATGGTGGATAAGCTTTTTGATGTGCTGTTGCAATTGGCTTGTCAGTATTTTATTGAAGATTTTTGCATCTATGTTCATCATGGATATTGGCCTGAAATATTCTTTTCTTTTTGAGTCTCTGCCGGGTTTTGGAATCAGGATGATGTTGGTCTCATAAAATGATTTGGGAAGAATTCCCTCTTTTTGTATTGTTTGGAATAGTTTCAGAAGAAATGGTACCAGCTCCTCTTTGTATGTCTGGTAGAATTCAGCTGTGAACCCGTCTGGACCTGGGCTTTTTTTGGGTGGTAAGCTCTTAATTGCTGCCTCAACTTCAGACCTTGTTATGGGTCTGTTCAGGGTTTCGGCTTCTTCCTGGTTTAGGTTTGGCAGGAGGCAAGTGTCCAGTAATTTATCCATTTCTTCCAGGTTTATTAGTTTGTGTGCATATAGTTGTTTGTAATAATATCTGATGATGGTTTGAATTTCTGTGGAATCTGTGGTGATATCCCCTTGATCGTTTTTTATTGCATCAATTTGGTTATTCTTTTCTTTTTTATTAATCTGGCTAGTGGTCTGTCTATTTTGTTGATCTTTTCAAAAAACCAGCTCCTGGATTTATTGATTTTTTGAAGTGTTTTTTTGTGTCTCTATCTCCTTCAGTTCTGCTCTGATCTTAGCTATTTCTTGTCTTCTGCCAGACTCTGAGTTTTTTTGATCTTGCTCCTCTAGCTCTTTCAGTTTTGACTATAGGGTGTCAATTTTTGATCTCTCCTTGCTTCTCATGTGGGCACTTATTGCTATATATTTTCCTCTAGAGACTGCTTTAAATGTGTCCCAGAGATTCTGGTATGTTGTGTCTTCATTCTCATTGGTTTCGAAGAACATCTTTATTTCTGCCTTCATTTCATTGTTTATCCAGTCAACATTCAAGAGCAAGTTGTTCAGTTTCCATGAAGCTGTACGGTTCTGGGTTAGTTTTTGAATTCTGAGTTCTAACTTGATTGCACTGTGGTCTGAGAGACTGTTTTTTATGATTTCCGTCCTTTTGCATTTGCTGAGGAGTGATTTACTCCCAATTATGTGGTCAATGTTAGAGTAGGTGTGATGTGGTGCTGAGAAGAATGTATATTCTGTGGATTTGGGGTGGAGGGTTCTGTAAATGACTATTAGGTTTGCTTGGTCCAGGTCTGAATTCAAGTCCTGGATATCCTTGTTAATTTTCTGTCTGGTTGATCTGTCTAATGTTGACAATGGGGTGTTAAAGTCTCACAATATTATCGTGTGGGAGTCTAAGTCTCTTTGTAAGTCATTAAGAACTTGCCTTATGTATCTGGGTGCTCCTGTATTGGGTGCATATATATTTAGGATCGTTAGCTCTTCTTGTTGCATTGATCCTTTTACCATTATGTAATGTCCTTCTTTGTCTCTTATGATATTTGTTGCTTTAAAGTCTAATTTATCAGAGATGAGAATTGCAACTCCTGCTTTTTTTTTGCTCTCCATTTGCTTGGTAAATCTTCCTCCATCCCTTTATTTTGAGCGTTTGTGTATCCTTGAATGTGAGATGGGTTTCCTGGATACAGCACACCGATGGGTTTTGGCTTTTTATCCAATTTGCCAGTCTGTGTCTTTTGATTGGGGCATTTAGTCCATTTACATTTAGGGTTAATATTGTTATGTGTGAATTTGATACTGCCATTTTGGTGCTAGCTGGCTGTTTTGCCCTTTAGTTGAGCTGGTACTTGTTGTTCCTTTATATGTGTAGAGCCTCTTTCAGGAGCTCTCATAGAGCTGGCCTGGTGGTGACGAAATCTCTGAGTACTTGCATGTTCACAAAGGATTTTATTTTTCCTTCACTTATGAAGCTTCGTTTGGCTGGATAGGAGATTCTGGGTTGAAAGTTCTTTTCTTTAAGGATGTTGAATATTGGCCCCCACTCTCTTCTGGCTTGTAGGGTTTCTGCTGAGAGATCTGCTGTGAGTCTGATGGGCTTCCCTTTATGGGTAACCTGACCTTTCTCTCTGGCTGCCCTTAGTATTTTCTCCTTCATTTCAACCCTGGTGAATCTGACGATTATGTGCCTTGGGGTTGCTCTTCTTGAGGAATACCTTTGTGGTGTTCTCTGTATTTCCTGGACTTGAATGTTTGCCTGCCTTGCTAGGTTGGGGAAGTTTTCCTGGATAATATCCTGAAGAGTATTTTCCAGCTTGGATTCATTCTCTTCGTCACATTGGGGTACGCCTATGAAACGTAGATTAGGTCTTTTCACATAGTCCCACATTTCTTGGAGACTTTGTTCATTCCTTTTTACCCTTTTTTCTCCAGTCTTGCCTTCCCGTTTTATTTCATTGAGTTGATCTTCGACCTCTGATATCCTTTCTTCTGCTTGGTCAATTCGGCTGTTGATACTTGTGCATGCTTCGCGAAGTTCTCGTGTTGCGTTTTTCAGCTCCATCAATTCACTTATATTCCTTTCTATTTTGTCCATTCTTGTTAGCATTTCACCAAGTCTTTTTTCAAGGTTCTTAGTTTCTTTGCATTTGGTTAGAACATGTTCTTTAAGTTCACAGAAGTTTCTTACTACCCACCTTGTGAAGTCTGATTCTGTCATTTCATCACACTCATTCTCCATCCAACCTTGTTCCCTTGCTGGTGAGGAGTTGTGATCCCTTTTAGGAGGAGAGGTGTTCTGGTTTCGGGTGTTTTCATCCTTTTTGCGCTGGTTTCTTCCCATCTTTAAGGATTTATCCACCTGTTGACTTTGTAGTTGCTGGCTTTCAGATTGGGTCTCAAATCTTTCAGATTGACGTTCTGTTTGTTGATGATGAGGTTATTTCTGTTTCTTGGTTTTCCTTCTGACAGTCTGGCCCCCCTGCTGTAGGTCTGCTGAGGTTCACTCCAGGCCCTGCTTGCCTGGGGTTCACCTGCAGCAGCTGCTGAACAGCAAGGGTTGTTACCAGTTTTCTTCTTCTGCTATCTTTGTCCCAGAAGGTTACCCGCCTAGTGTCAATCTGATCTCTCTTTTATGAGGTGTCTTCTTGGATATATAGGGGTCAGGGAGCTGCTTGAGGAGATGGTGTCTTCTTTGTAAGAGTTCAAATGGTGAGCTGTGAGCTCTGTTGTTGTTCATTCAGAGCTGCTGGGAAGGTACTTTTAGGTCTGCTGCAGCAGAACTCATAAACTGCTTTTTGTTCCCAGGTGCTCTGTCCCAGGGATTTAGGGCTTTATTTATGAGTTTCCGTTATGCTGCCACCTTCTTATTTTTTTTTTTTTCCGTCAAACCTGCCCAGCCCAGCAAGGAGGCAGCCTAGTCACTGTCGGCCTATAGCAGCTTTGCTGAGCTGCTGTGGTCTCCGCCCCGCTGCCGAGTGAACTTCCCTGCAGTCCTGTTTATATGGGTGTAGTTACAACTGCTTTGGCGATGGTGGCCCGCCTCTGTTGAGGCGGAGTCTCTTTGCTGTGGCGGGTTGCCTTGGCAACGGCGGGCTGCCTCAGCAGTGGCGGGTTGCCTTGGCAACGGCAGGCTGCCTCAGCAATGGCGGGTTGCCTTGGCAACGGCGGGCTGCCTTGGTAATGGCGGACGCCCCTCCCCCACAGAGCTGGACCGTCCCGGGTTCAGCTGCGCTTGCTGTGAAAGTCTCAATCCCGAGTGTCTGGTTGCTGTTCCTTTGCGGGGGTGGGGCCAGCCGAGCCTGATCGCCTGGCTCCCTGCCTCAGAGCCTTTTTTAAGTTGGTGTTCCAGTCGCCTGTTGAAGAGGCACCGGGGTCTGTTTGTTTTCCCCTGCCACTCACTGCGCTGTCTTAAACAGCGGCACTGAGGTTTGTGGCGCTTTTTTTTTTTTTTTTTTTTTTGCCCTGGAATCTGCTGTCCTGGTTATCTGCTCTGTCCCCTTTTTGCACCGGCGAATGGGCAACTTCCCGTGGCTCCAATCGCCAGCCAAAAGGGCCCCCGGACCAGTGTATTTTGCATGGAGAACCGCGGCTCCCGGGCGCCGACAAAGCCGCCGCGCGGGGCAAAGCAGCGGCCCTGGCCGGCACAGCTGCGCTGGCCGAAACAGCCGCGCTGGCGACCGTGGAGCTCCTCTGCCCGGGAATTTCCTAGTCTGTGGGCAATAAAAATGCGGCGTCCACTCACCCTTTGCGCTTTCACTGGGAGCTGCGATCCTGAGCTGTTCCTAAACGGCCATCTTGGATCCG